TTCTTTGTCGTTTATGTAATTCCTAATTCACTGTTTATATATTTATTTAATTTTCTACTTATTTGTTTATCTGCTGGTTGTTTCTTCATTAACGATTCTCTGTTTCTCTTACCTATCTCAGTTCCTCTCTCTCCTTTACATTTTTTTTTTCTACGTCTCGTTCACCATTTTTTCTATTTCTCTCTCTCTTTCTCTCTACTAATATCCCCCCTTCCTCCCTCTCTCTCTCTCTTCCCTTATCTATTTTCTTTGCTCTCTCTCATTCACTTATTTATTTTTCTTCCTCTCTCTCCCTCTTTCACATTTTTTTTATCTCTTCTTCTCCTTCGCTATTTTTTCTCTTCCCCCATTTTCCTTCGCCCTTTCTCTCTCCCCCGTCCACAAATCCCTTTCTCTCCACCACTCCCTCTCTCCCCCCCCCTCCCGTCTTCTCCCTCAGTCCTCCCCTTCCTCCCACCCCCTCACCCTTTTCCCACAAACCTCCGCTACGATAACAACATCCGCGGCGGGGGAACAACGACGCGTGGTTTGTTCTACACGACGAGAACACGAGGGAGAACACAGGGGACCGCCCTATTGTTCTCCAGCCCGTGAACATCGATACCTGCCATTGTCTCTTCGCAAGTCCCCGCCCGTTGCCTCCCAACAGCGTGATCTGAGCCGACATCGATGCCTTTATCTTGCGCATTAAAAACGGGGATTCTTCTTTTTTTTCCTTCTCTCTCTCTCTCTCTCTCTCTCTCTCTCTCTCTCTCTCTCTCTCTCTCTCTCTCTCTCTCTCTCTCTCTCTCTCTCTCTCTCTCTCTCTTTCTATTCCATTATATGAATGATTTTCCTCCTTTAGTGATTACCTTCGGTCTGTGAAGGGAAGGGATGATTTTGTTTGTTTGTTTGCTATTTGGAAGTTGGTTTCTCCCTTTCTTTAGTGAGGAGTTTTTAATTATTATTATTATTCGTTGTTCTTTCTTTTTCCTTCTTCTTTCTTTCTTCTCCTTTTCATCTTCCCCTCCTTCCCCTTCCTTTACTCTACTTCTAAATCCTTTTCTCTTCCACCTCCTTCTCTTCCTGCCTCCACTTATGCATCCCTTTCTATCTTGTGCCTATGTTTACATTTTTTTAACCGCCATCTTGTAGGACAAACGCCGTAGGAGTGCCTATCTATTTCTTCTCCTTCCATCTTTATCAAGTGAGTATCGTCTAAATGTATGTGTCCGTCTCTTCATTTCCTCCTCCTCCTCTTCTTCTTCTTCTTCTTCTTCTTCTTCTTCTTCTTCTTCTTCTTCTTCTTCTTCTTCTTCTTCTTCTTCTTCTTCTTCTTCCCGTCCTCCTCCCTCTTATTCTCCCTCTCCCTCTTTCACCACGAACACTATTTCATTATTCAACTCCTCTCGCGGTTTACTTGTATCTTCATGCTTAATCCAAATTACGTAAATATCGGATAATTACGAGCTGTTGATGTAGTAATTACCGCGAGGGTTACTTACCGCCTTCTTGCTCCACCTCCCCTCTCCTTCTTTTATCTTTATTTTTTACTTTTTATCCTTTTTTTTTAAACTTATTTCTGTGCGCTCTTTTTCTTCCTCTTCCCCTTCTTCATCCTCTCCTTCGTCTTTTTCTTCCTCTTTCTTATTTTCCTTTTTTTTCTGCTTCGTCTTCTCCGACCAAACACATACTTTTAAGCTTTTAATCTTCCTTTTAAAATTGCTTACTCTCTCTATTT